ACATTGTAAAATGATTATAAATCAATAAAAAATGTTAAAAAAACAATGCATCTATATTATTTTTTCCCTAAAAAGTGAAGACTATGGTACAAAAAGCATAATAATCAGATGCAGAAATTTATTTTGTTTGTTCTGATTTCTGTTGGCATCAAGTTTCTCTAGCCATGTAAGAACCATTATTTGTATTGGAAAGTTGGTGGTGAAATAACTCTCAGATCACTAGACATAAAGCTTTCTCTTTGGTTGGCTTCAGAATGCCAAAAACAAGCATCTCAGTGAAAATTCCTTTGCTGATAAAGACATACTTGATAGTGTATTTCTAGAGGATTATTACTCTTCACATGTGCACGATGTTGCTCTGTGTCTGACCTCGTGCCTGTGACAAACCCCATCTCAGGTGCTCTGTAGCACTTTGAAAACACACTGCCAGACTGTCTTGTTTTATTGCTTACAGAAGTAGGAAGAAAGTGGCAGTGTGCTGTGCTTTGACTTTTTCAATTACAAATATCTTTAATAAATTGTCATTCTACCCTTTTGCTTACATGCAAGTGCAGCTGTAAACGGGGGAAACGGGAGTTCACATCTAGTTAAAGACCTGTTAAAGTCAACGTAGTCCAAGATGCTACAATTTTTCAAATATATGACATTTAAATTCTACTATCTCTTCCTTGTGACAAAAAGTTAAAGGTAATAGATTGTCACAACATGAATCCATTCTCATGACAATAGATACAATGAGATTGTCAGAAACACAAACCTAACTGTGATGCAATCTGGAGATACTAATCTAGTTTGGTCCTGCCCAAGAGCTAGATGGCATGTTCTGAGAATTGTGTACCACGGATTTTAAAATCGTAGGATATTATTGTTTCTTTCCTCGAGGCAAGATTTCCCACTGAGCTGCTGAGTTTGGCTAGTCACATTCTTCCAAAAACAGGGTGTGTTTTCCTCCTTGGGTTTTATATTTTAAATTAAAGAGCAAATATTATTCTGGATTGTGTTGTCTCTCCTCCCTCATCCCCAACCCCCAGTGTGAAAAACTGTAGGATTTCTTTGCATGTGTGGGTTTAGTAGGCTTTTTTGTTCCTTCCTCTGTTCTCACAGCCAGCAACACAGGAATGCATAGGAGGCAAATCACCGACCTTTTAGACCAAAGTATTCAAGTCCATTCCCAGTGCTTTGTCATCACTTCGGACAACCGCTACATTCTCATCTGCGGCTTCTGGGATAAGAGTTTCCGCGTCTATTCTACAGACACAGGTAACCCCGTCATTTCTTCATCAGTGAACTAAAGTTTATGACAGGTAGCATGGACAGACTTAGACTGCTTGCTCCTCTTCTTCCTGCCAAAAGTTACAGAATTCTAAAATTTTGTAAAATAAAGACAGTTTTCCCCCCTTCAAGTAATAATCTACTCGATAGTCCATTCATAAATTAACTTGAGAATGTTTTTAAGAGGCAGTTTTGTGTAGGTTTGTCTCCCAAGCGTCATACTTACAGAATGAATGATTCATTTTGAAAATGTATCCTGGTATGTAAATACCATATGCATAATCTTACAGCAAGTGTACATACGGAGTGTAGGTGTATTTCCCCACTTTAGTATTATCAAAAGTTTTTTTCTTACTGGAAATTCTCATTAAGTGTATTTCTTGGGAGTGCATATCTTGCTTCCACCCAATTCTACGCAGAATCTTGCTGAAAGCTATACTATCATGAAGGAAAGTAGCTGACTACTGATTTTATGGGTGATGGGAGCTTGTTAAAAAATTTAAGTTTAAGTCTACATATTCACTTGCACACATCTCCGTAAGGGACAAACCAAAGTTGAATCAGTATTATTACAGGATATCCAGTTCAGTAAATGCTTATAAAAATGTTTGCATATAAGAAATTGAAAATGAAAAATTTAATGGAGTCTTTTAAAGTATTTTAGAAACTTAGAGGATGCTATAAACTTACAGTAAATATGTAGTTTTATATTTAAAACAATTACAATTAGATATTAATGCATTAGAACTGGATAGATACTATGGAAGTAGATCGACTAAAGCAAAAATCTACAAATACCTTGATTAAATGTTGTGGGAATAGGAAATTTATAAAAATTGACCCTTCTAATTACATGTTGTAAAGCAACTCATCCTTCAGGCATATTAATAGTCTGTATAAAATATGTGAATGTGTCCATGCTCCTGCCTTAATAACTATAGTATATTGAAAAATCAGTTCTCAGTTACTCAAGGAGTTTGCGTTAGGCGTATTTTGATGATAGTGTTATAACCTGGCAATCAGAAGGTAGGGAAAAATAGTTGTTTTTATGCATGGTCTTGTTTAATTTTTATTTTATGGAATTGATGATCTACTTTTCTTATAATCTGCATTTTTATTCTGTAGGTAGGTCCAGAAAGAAAACATCAGTTTTCAAGTCTTTCTGATTCCTTGGGCTTTTTCTAGATGTCTAGGTCTATGAGATTGATTACTCCTGAATGTAAAACTCCTCCAGAGTTTTTTAAACATACCATAGGGATTGCTGAGTTTTCCTAAAATACATTTATTATTGTAATTAATTTTCTCTGATTTAATAATCCAATTTAAAATTGAACCTTCTCTTACACCATTATGGTAGAGACAACCTTAGCATTATTTGACCTCAAATTGTGCTCCCTTCTTGCAGAAACTTTCACATTTAGATTATTACATCCTCTCACAAGGTTTTCTTAAACATTCTTTTAGATTACATACTGTTTTTTATACATTAAAATTATTTTAACAATTTAATAAGTGCTGCCCATTTGTACTCAGCTTCTCCCTCACCTCAGCCTCTTCACAACCACTGGTATGTTGTTTCTTTTGTTTTGGGTAGGTAATTTGGTTTATTTATCATTTATTTTAATGGAGGTACTGGGGATTGAACCCAGGACCTCGTGCATGCTAAGCACACACTCTAGCACTGAGCTGTGCCCTCCCCCTGCTACATTCTTCACCTCTATAATTTTGCCTTTCCTAGAATGTCATAAAAAGAGATCAGATATTATGTCAGTCTTTGGTTTGACATTTGAGGCTTTTTGAGTTTGTTGACATTTCATATCATTTTAAAAGACATTGACTGTGAATATTTGTAAAGTAAAGCTAACCTCGCTTTTATGTAATATGAATAATTAAAATAATTCTGATAGTCACACATTCTGTAGAATTTACAGAATTCCTTCTTTCGCTGACACGATATCATGTTGGCCTCACAGTAATCCTGTGAGATGGACAGAACAGGTCCTTAGCCCCATTTTTCAGATGATGAAACTGAGGTTTAGGAAGGTTAAGTAACTTGCTGAAATTTGTATAGATAATGGTACTAGAACTGAGCATTGGAGCTAGATCCTCTGACTTCAGATGTGACATTTTTGTGATTATACCATGTCATCTCACACAGGTGTTAGCTGTTTAAAAACTAGGCTTCTAGTATATCTGCCATTTTACTTTAGACCTAATAAACTAGATGACTTTCCTTCCACTCTTCTCAAAAGCCCTCTACTTTACTGTGTTTTAAAATGTGCACGTGCACTTGTGTGTGTGTGTGAAACATTTTCATAAGCAGCAGCCTCATTTTAAACTTCATTTCAGCAGGACTGACTTAGCATGTACACTAAAAATATTTATACTTGCCAGAAAAGTTGTGGAAAAAAATCTCAAATGCTAGTCCTAGTATCTTTCTTAATATCTCATATACAAACTCGGATGCTAGTTTTATTTAAAATTATTTGTTAAGGTAAATATGTTTGAGTTATAATAATAGGAGTAGTCAATATTTTCTCCTAAGTTTGGCAGAAAAGCAGGGAAAAATTGTATGATCAATAATATATAATGCCAAAGCTATCACAAGTGTTGAATTCAATTATATTTTGGCACATAAGCCAAAAAAAAATCCTTCTCTTATTAGATTTGGCGGGGCGGGGAGGTGGGAGTAGGGAGAAACACGGTTGTAACAGGAAATTCTTTAAACATAAATCATGTTTTCGGGACACAACCAGAACAGCAGAGGCAACAATAAAACCTTCCCTCGGCAGTGGGAATTATTTTCAGGCCACATTTTAGATTCAATGGTGCAGAGTCCCGAGCTTGAATTTTTTTTTTATTTGTAGCACAGCTGTCAAATAAAACATTAACTAGAAAATTTGTTCTGTCAAAAAAAGGATATTCTAGTGCTTGCGGTAATATTTGATATTAGTGTGTGGAGAGGTGGACCGGTATTAAAGGAAACAAAAAATAAAGGTTGAGGAACACTTAAGAGATTATCAGAAAATAATTTACCAAAAAGAGCAGCAAGTATTTATACACCGTGATTTATTTAGGAGGAGTGAACCTCGGCCTCATAGCAATAACAAATATTGCAGAGGAAGGCTGCCAGAGGAGGAAAAAGTAAACTTAAAAAAAAATAATGTTTTCCAGAGTTGAGCCCAAAGTATAAATTGTAGAGGGCGAAGTTAATTTGTATTAAAATATGAAACTCTTTAGATATAAATATTTAAATGTCACCCCCTCATTTCGATCTTCCCTGATGCCCAGTCTGAGTTTGTTTTCTCTCATTCTCACTGATCCTGTCTTGTCCTTTCTTCTGCAATACTTACCACTATTCATAATTATATATCTGTGTGTGTCTGTTCAGAATGTGTCTGTCCTGCTACGGTAACTATATACTATGAGAGCAGGAGCCACGTCTGTTACCACTATGTAGACGTAAGGCAGTTGAATGCTCAGCACTTAGTAGGTGTTCGGTAAATGTGTGTTGAATGAAAAATAATTGTGATCACTTTCAGGGGCAAAAATTGAAACACTAGGAAATTTTAATTCAAAAGGAAACCACAGTGATTGAATATGCATCTTCATAACACTGACATTGTTGGCACAGAGCGATGACTTACCTAATGGGAATTAACAAACGAGTCCTGGGAAATCCTGACACTAGATTTAATCTCTCCCACTTTTCACCTAAAAATTTCCACTTTGCTCTCACTAGTTGCAGATTAAGGAAGGTAACAAGCAAGCAGCTGCTGTTTTGCCAGCCTTGGAGCATTTGGGTTTCCTCTGCACCACGGATCTCTAGGACCTAGTTAGTTGTGGTTATTTGGCTCATCCCCTCTCCTACAATGCACTGAATTGATGGGTATCAAATCTGAAATAAGCCTGCTCTAAATAACCTACCTAAATCACTCCTGTAGTTACATGCTCTCAGCATTTAGTGTAGGCTGAGGCAGAAGTCACTGTATCTACTCTGTAATCAAAAACATAATCACATGATGGTGTGTTCAGTTCTCTCAGTGGTTAAGACTCACTGACTTAACCTTCAGTTTCCTCATTCATAATGAGAGCGCATTCAGCTCCCTAACTTTTGTCTTACCTTTAGAAAGGCCTGCCTCTGATCCAATCCCACTCATATTACCACTCAGCCTCTTACTTTGTTCTTCATATAAGAAGGTGGAAGTGATGTGAAGATTATTACATTTTAAATATTTATTTGCTTTTTCTTTTCTTTTTTCTAGAAAGTCTTAAATTCTTCTTACCATATTCTTTATTGACAAAAGCTAATTTTTAAAATGAAATGTTTTGGTATTAATTTAAAAGGCTGAAGAAATTCGGAAGTGAACATTTTTAACATTTAGCAGTTAAAACACTTGCTTTGACTAAAGTCTTTACTTATAGGGGAAAAAATGTACTTTATTAATTTTGCACTTTGAGATTGATGTGCATCTTATCCTAAGTTACTATTAATAGGCTGTGTGCAAGAGAAAACACTGACTTTCCATCTGATTTAGATAAAGTGTTTCTCACTATTTTATTTCTAAAATTGCAGACTTTATAATAAGCTTTGGGTTTATTAAAATCAAGAATTTAACAAAATTAATGGAAATACTTTTAGTTATATTTATTATTATCTTGAAAAGTTAGATACGCATAGATACTAGTACTTTATTATTAAAACCTTAATATTTAGAATAGGCTATGATGTGTTCCAAGTTAAACTGTAAACTTTTTTTAGGCATACTAATTTTTTTTTTCAGCTCAGTGGTCTTTTATCTGGAACATTTGAATTGTATTTCTTTATGACCTCACTGAAACACTTATTGTAAAAAAAGCTCATGCTGAATATTACGGGTAGACATTCTATGACATTCATTTGTAGTATCTCTAGACAGTGCAAAGAAAAATGTTAGCTAGAAACTCTAGGGATAGAATGGAAGGGCAGCTATAGATACTTAATTCTCTGGACAAGTTTGTGTATATTATAAGCACCATATCTGATTTAACAAAGAATCAAAAAAGTGGGAGCTTTATGTTTTTTCTGACACCGTTATGTGAGCAGTTCGTCCTGTGTTTAACATCCCAGATACATAGGAAGTTCACTGGGAAACTCCCCCTTCCCACCCTCATTCTTTACTGTTAAACTGCGAAAATCTTAATTTCATCATCCTCTCCCCTCCCCAGGAATTTTCATCATTCAATTAAAACAAAGAAAGAATCACCTGGCTCAAATTGCAGTCACACTATATTAGCCTTTTTATCAAAATTGAGTTCACGGAATCCTGATTTGAAAAACAGAAGCTCTCCAAAGTGGCTTAGACTGCCCTCGTATCGATCAGTTCAAAGAAGAGAAGGAGAAATACACTAAGTCTTTACTAATTCAGAGGCCAGTTTGTGTTAGTGAAGTCTGAATTACAGAGTACTTGCAGAAAGGCAACTAAGTTTTGCTTTGTTTTGAATCATATAGAGTAACTTAAGAGATTGTTGAAATGGTTCCAAATAAGGATTCTCCTGGGCCTGCTTTAATCAGTAGACATGATTCATTTGTAATTTATAGTAGCCATGTATAATAATACTATTAGTTGACATAGTTTTAACATATGTCTTTCAAGAAAGTTGTTATCACTGTTCAGTTGATTTTTTTGTTGTTGTTAACTATTCAAAGAAAACTTCTAGGTTGGACTGGATCAAATTTTATTATAAAACCTGAATTATCAGAATGTGAGTTAACACAACTTCCTTATCCTATAAGTTAAATGGTCCCTGGGAGTTTTTTCAATTTTTTTAATAGCAGTTTTAAAGAAAATTATTTTGTATTTCAGGAAAATTGATCCAAGTGGTATTTGGCCATTGGGATGTCGTCACTTGCCTCACTCGTTCTGAGTCATATATCGGGGGAAATTGCTACATTCTCTCAGGGTCACGTGATGCAACCCTTCTGCTCTGGTACTGGAATGGAAAAAGCAGTGGGATTGGAGATAACCCAGGCAGTAAGTACAATTTATTTTATAAGTAAACTTTTACAAGTGACGTATAACATTTTGCAGTGAAGTTACCTATTTCATCATGGTGAAAGTGAAACTGATTATCAAGTAGTTTTAATTTCATAGTTGTAATTTAGGAAAGGTCTAGATAGCCTTGTTATTAACATTTGGTGGCCATTGATAATTAAGATTCAAGCATGAAATCTCATTTTTCATGTTGTAGGTTATTCTTATGATCTGAAAATGCTAGTTCTTCATTGGAAATGGCTGTCACCACATAAGAGAGAGGTGTTTCATTCACGAACAATAAGAACGTAAAAGAGCAATCACATATTATCTTGTTTATTGAATTCATATTTTAAAAGAGCAAAAGAAAAATAATTTCATGGAAACAAACTAGTCTTTATAAAAAAATATGCTTTCATTTACATATTAAAAGATAAAGCAGGTCATAAAAGGCCAATATGGAGTATTCAAATTGGCTCCTGGTTTTTCAGATGGGAAATGAAAATGTTCACCAACAGCCTTAAACATCTTTATGAAACTGTGCTGAGGGCAGTAAAACAAAAAATGTGTAACCATTTAAAATTGTAATTCACAGAAGGCAAAAAAGGAAGCAGCTACCATTAAAACCAATCGCACACAGCTGCAGAAAAGAAATGGCTTTAGAAAAACACATTAAGAAGTAGGAAAAAACAATTAAAGGGACCACCTGAAAAATGAGAATTTAATTAAAATGATTATGACAACACTGAAGAGTTCCTGCAAGAATAGCTTTAGATTTTTACTTCATAAGGTAGAGCATTTTAACTGCTCTTAAATATTTACAGTTTCTTAATTTAAAGCAAGTTGGAATGTATTTGGTTAAGGAAGGGTCGTGTGGTTCCTGATTTCTTTACCTTGAATACTGTGGTACTCAGCCCCAAATTATAAAACCGTCTGAGTATGTTTAAATCCATCATATTTTGGATTGACTTCTTAAAGCTGTGCTTATTAAATGTACATTATTTGTATGAAAGTAAGACCTTTAAAAAAAATTTAGTCAAGAGCCAGTAGAGTTTTAAAAGAAGTGTGTGCAAAGTGTTTTATCAAGGCTGTTTCTGCTCTCTGTGTATTTTGTTTGGTGTGGTGGTGAAACAAAACTTGTATTCCATGAACCTCTAATATGTATTTCTTATTTTAATCAAAACAAGGATAATTCCCTACACAACTAGAGTATGAAAAACAACCTTAAGGCTGGGACGCTGTGGTTAATGCAGCCATTGTAATCTGATCAGACTTTGTGCGTGTGTCTCTGTTGCGGTGGGTAGTGTGTACGTGTGTGTGTTTCACATATTCACAGACATCTCCATTTTATATGTAATTACAATGACTTGAAATATGTACACTTTGGTGGAGGGGGGGTCTGTTTTTCACGTTCTTTTGAGAAGTACTTCGTTTTCTTTTCATTGTGGACCCTGCCATTCTGCTCCTTCTTAGGATCAGTGACTACTTTCGATTTCTTTTCTCCTGTTTCCGTAAATTCAGTTACTGAGATTTACTAAATTAGCTCAGACAAACCTAGATTTGACCTAGATAATAAATATATCATTTTGTTATTTATGTGAAAATATTCTGAAAGAACTTTCTTTTGCTTTAAAACACTGGGAGATGTTTCATGAACATAGAGTGATCTAAATGCAAAAAAACTGTGTTTGTTTGTTTGTTTTTAAATCCTTGGCCTAACCATGTTCTGTATGTCATTCCCAATGGGTATTTTGAGAAGTAGCTGAAGGCTTACTAGCTACACTTGTTTGTAAGTGTTGTTACAGTTCAAAAGTTTAAGTATATTTTAAAATTAGAAATATTCAGTTTTCCAGAAGGGAGAAATATATTTTTATATAGTTAAATACTTTATAAATCACCCCAGGGATGGTTTTTTATACGCATATCCTATTTAAAAAAATGAGTCAAATAGGACTGACCAAACACTGGAGTCTTTTGCTCTTTTAAAATATGAATTCAGTAAACAAGATAATATGTGAACCAAAGTTCTAAGCTTTGCTGTGGTCCTTCTGTCTTGTCTATAAAATGAAAGCAACAATAGTAACTGACTTAAGGTGTTACCAGACGCACAGAATGCTTAGAGCAAATAAATCACCACACGAACACCATCTAGTTGGCATTAGAGTATATATTATAATGTTGTATTTTTCATAAAGCACTTCATCTGTACCCTCTCATTGTCTGCAGTATGGTGGACATTAACTCCTAGTAATGCTGGTAATGAAAGGGAAAAAAAATAACAGAATAACGGAACAGCACATCTAATAAAAATTTTAGAAAATTGTAATGCATCTTGACTAAATTAAATTACCTTTCCCAAAGTGAACCTCGTCCTTTTTGGCTCTTTTATATCGTCTAATGTCCCAATTTAATTTTGCTTTAGCTTTGAAGGATGAATCTAGGAGAAAGACAAATAAGCATTTTTTCATATAATGAGAATTTCCACACATTAGAATGGAAAAATGAACAAGCCAGTCGAAGCTTTTCAAAAGAAAATGACAAACAAACAAAAACAAAGACTTTTTTTTTTTTTACCGCCTATGAACTGTGTTTTCAACATTCATGCAAGCTGGTTCCGATTTTATAAGCCTGTGGCTCACTGATGGCTCTTCGATGCAGCCGCTCAAGTCACAGCTTTTCAGAGGAGGACGTGCAGGTTATGCTTATTTCTCTATTGTACCTCTTGGATGCAATATAATTGACCTGTAAGAAAGAGTCAGGCTTTTATATACATAATTGCAGTATGGTCTATAAATTGACACAACTCCTCAACTTAAATTTTTGAATTTAGACTTCTTCTCACTTTGAAGGAAAAATTAATTTTTTAATTAGGCTATTGCTTTTTCTGCATTTTATAGGTCTCATTCAAGTATTTAGTTGTTTTTTTTTTTCAAAAGTCATGAGAATAAACTAGTAATGTTACCTGCTGGTGTCATAAGCCTATGTTATTCTCTGCAAATCTAATGTTGGTGCTCTATGTAAAGTTGATAGCATTAGTACTATTTTTTTTAAATCAGGTTATCCAGTATTAATATGCACATTGCTCAGGCAAAATCAGACTAATTCAGACTGGATAAAGCCTAGCTATAGCATAACTTGGGACTTTTAAAAGGATGCACATGTTTTATGAAATCTGCCTAGGTTTTGTAGCAAAAGCCTTGTTTTCCTGTACAACAGAGAGCTTTTCATTTTTGACTCTATTGTTGTCTCTATTGTTATTTCTTGTGGAATGTAATTTTCTTAATGAGAAGAAAAATTAAGATAGGATACCATTTAGTTGTGGATTTTTTAAAGTAAATTTAACCAAGAACATTTCAATGAAAGTCATTTTCTACATGGAAGCATTTGTCTTTTCTCTGGTTCTTCTTTGTGTTTTAGAATTGAATCTTGTCCACCAAAATGCTTTTCCTGAAATACTCCTTTTGCCATCAGAACAATGCTATCCAGACTGTACATTTCCAAATTTTGAAGAAAACGTTCCCTGATGCATTCAGTTGACATTTAAATACTTTAAATTTAAAATGTTCTTATAATCAAGGTGAAAATTTACAAAATAGTTATTCTTTATCCACTATTTTCATTGTATTAATAGCTCATAAACTTAAACACTTATTAAACATTTAGAAATAAATGAATATTAAGCATTTTTAGATATGAGTAATTTTTTTTTTAAAGCCACACAACTGTGTGCTTAGCTTTCGAAGCAAACAGTCACTGACTGTGAGGTGTTGCATCGATGGTGTGTGTACTATTTTCAGTAAAGTAGTTTTCCATTCTCACATTCTGTTTTTGATTTGATTGAAAGGTGGCATTTTTTTTTTCCTCTTTGCAATCAGACATGCTAATCTATGTCAGCTTTCTCCTTTATGGGAATGGCGTCTACCAAAGGGGAAAAAAAACTAAGTTTTTTTTCATAACAAGATTCTGTTCTTTAAGAATATTTCAGCACCGTTAATTAGAAAGAAGGTTTTATTAACCATAAGGCCGGCACTCACAGACCACAGAGCTGTTTTTTAAAGTACTGTATGCCAAAGCTGCCCTGCTCTTTCTCTGTGTAAAACTTCATTTTGTTATTCTCTCATCAATCACTTAAGTCATTACCGTAAATCCTACTGTTGTTAATTTTACTAGTATCACCCTAATGAGACATTCCTGCTATAATTAAAAATGAATTCTAACTTTAAGGCATTCTAAATTTTTTTTTAATGAATTTAGAATGATCTTGCCATCTGACCGTAAATACTACTGATATACATAGACTGTTCATATCAAGTCTATAAGAAAAGCTGCATCACAGTACGTCCAGGTGTGACTCATTTGCTAGTTGCCCCTGTGCACGTGTGCTTATGCATATGTATATTTTTGTGCACATATTTAGGAATTATGTTCTTTTTGTCCTAAACCCTAATATGCTTTACTGAGGCTACCAATAAATCCTTATTCTTTGTCTTGACAAAATATAGCTGGAAGTAAGACAAGCAAAGTAGGCGTCCTAGGGCGCCATCTGCTGGATGTATTTGGGGACTTACCGTTGGTAAATCTGAAAAACAGGGCTTGTTAAAACAGGTGTACTTTGTTTTTAATTGCCTGTGATGTATTATTTTGGGGTCACAAGTGTCAAGATACGTACATCTGTGCTGACCCACATGAGTTTGTAAAAGAAATCACTTTCTCTTTTGCCCGACGCTAGGCTGGATTTGGACGTTATAACGCATATTTTGTTCAAGGAAAATGTAGGCACAATATACGCCTAATGAAACAAAGCATCACAGTTTGTCCTGAGATAAACTCTTGTCATGTTGATCACAGGTCTTCAGTCAGCAGAATTGGAGAAAATTGTTGAGATGAGATTTTTAACATTAGGTTTCTCATGTTCCCTAGATTCTGAATATGAAAACCGTGTTTGAAACAAGCAGCCTTTTTATATCTGGGATATGACTCTTGCTCTGATTCTTTGTCAA